AGAGACAGATTACCATAATGAACAAAAGGGGATGCCAGGGAGTAATACTTACGATCGCGGGGGGGGCCTCACTCATAGTCGCGGAAGGAGCCTCCTCTTCACCTCTACCCTCCGAGGAGGTAAAAAGGGTCCTCTTCCTCGGTCGCTGCGGGGCCGCCATTTCGGCCGCGGCACTCTGGGCCGGTGCGGCCTCGGCACCCGATACCTCTCGACTCCTCTTGCGACCCGACGCTATGCATACAAAGAAAAGAGAGGAGTAAGTTGACCAGAGACAGAGCAGGTTTGAAAAGACCAGTGAGGGATAGGTAATAAAAGGAAAAGTTAGGCGAGGCTTACCTGCAGCAGTAGATGGACGAGGCATTGGTGAGGCTGGCACGATCCTATGCGCCAGCGTTTTTCATCCCCCCACCACAGGCGTCGCCCTGGGAGCTGAGGCCGCGGTCAATAATGGGGCCGCGGTGGAGGCCACGGCCGCTGACCTAGCCAGGGGAGGGGCGGGCACCCTGGGGGCGACGACCGGAGCACTCGGCCGGGGCGGCCCGGCTGATACCTTCTTCACCTTGCTGCCTTTGGGAGTGAGACGGTCCCAATCTGCATTCGTCAGGGCCGCCCTCACGGCCTCTTCAACAGGCCGAATAAATCTGGCCGAGATGCACTCCTCATACCAGACCCTCCCATCCTCGTCATACGCATTGCGGCGCGACCAAGGCGTCAGAGTCAGGAAGGTCATTCCCTTTTGAAGCTGAAAGGTGATCTCAGCCACCCCGTGCTGCTGGGAAACGTCGGCCCTCCAAGACGATAACCGGTTGGTTGATAGAGGAAGGAGGGGGGCCATCTGGATTAGGCCGAACTGCCGAGCCACGAGGTTCGGCAAATACACCTCGGCCCCGGCTTTGGATAGGCCGCAATGGAGGTCGTGCGAAACTAGGAAGGAGCCCCAGATCTCCTTCAGATCGTTCTCCGTCTCAACATCAGGAACGACGGAGAGGTCGTGGGTCAGGAATAGGGGGAACGGCCGAGCAAGGCAGATTCGGAACTGCGTACCAGTTCTCTCGGCCAAGCCGTAGAAGAATTTGTAGCAGAAGGCCGTGAAGTTATGCTTCTTGGGGGCTCGAGCAAATGCGTTGGCCAGCGGCTCGTTGTCTTGGGAAGCGGCCGCCCCCCTCAGCTCTGGGAAGTAGGCCTGCAACCAGAACTGGAAGGCCCACAGTGGACCACCGTGCTTCGGCTTCATCCCATCGGTAACGATGTCATGAAGCGTGCGGTAGATGTGGCCAAGCAGGAACGGGCCGAGGGCTAACCTGCCGCCCTGTGCTAGGTAATCGGCCAGGTGGGCGAACTCCAGGGTAACCTTGTTCGCCTGGGTGCAGAACACGAACTTGCACAACCAGTACAGCAAGAATGCGGCATGTTCAACCTCGCCGAGAGGGGCAATGGCGTCGTATTCAACGCTATCTTCTACGCCGAAGTTGCTGTAGAAGCTGGAGTAGTTGAGCATGTTCTTCGCCTTGCTCCCAGCAACTCTCGCAAGAGCAGGCCACATGGCCTTAAAGCTCCCTTCTGCCTCGGGAGCGACAAGGGCGGCGTTTACTTCCACGCCGAGGGGAGACAGGCCGAACAGAGCGGCCATGTCTAGAACGGTCGACGTCATCATGCCGAACCGAAAGTTCATGGTGTTGGTGGCCGACAACCAGAAACACAGGGCCGCGGCCAGGAGCGACCGATCCATGACGAGCGGCCGATCGAATAGCTTGATCAAGTGGTAGATGCCTTGATCCTTCCATTGCTGACCGAAGAAATGCTCCATCCACGGCAGCCACTTCTCCCAGTCTGGGGTCACGATTGGCCATTGCTGTTGCGGCCTGAGGACATTGACATCAGGGAGGATCGAGCCCTGAATATCTCGGCAAATAGCCTCGAATTCAGTTTGGAAGGTTTGGGACCGAACTTCAACAGATGCGGGGGTACTGGAGGCCATTAGAGCAGGTTTAGGGTGAGTGTTTAAGGGGGAAATGCGAAAAGGGTAAGGCGGAGCTCTCTGGTAACCTTGGAGGTTCGAAGTTTTGTGGGTTTTTTGAAGGTTAGGAGAAAAGGGTTTTTGACAAAGTTTGGGCGTCTGAGAATTCTGGAAGCGTAAGGAGAAAGTAAGGGAGTCCGAGTTTTTATAATGGCGCTAGAATTCGAAACGAAAGGGTGTGTCTCTCTCGAGAGACGTAACGCTCTGTCAGCACGCTCAACAGGAGCAACGACGTGTCAAAAGCCCAGAGGCCATCGCTTCCTCTGACAAAGCGAAGCGACGCCCTGGGCAATGATGGCCTACACGACGTGTCAAAAGCCCAGAGGCCATTAGCTGTGAGTCGCTGTAGATGCTGATCTGAATTGCCCCCATGCTTCTGGCGAGCCGTAGGCCAGCCAAAAGTGCCTTGTATTCGGCTTCATTGTTGGACGTTCGGAAGCCAAACCTGATGGCATATTCAATTTTAGCTCCATCGGGAGCGGTGAGTACTAGACCAGCTCCGCATCCTTGTTGGTTTGCCGAGCCGTCCACGTGTAGGATCCAGAAAGTGTCTGCCGTGCAAATCTCACGGCCTGGAGTTCCGGGCCGAGGGGATGTGCGTTGACACGCGGTTTCCTGCTTTTGGGTGCGGTGCGGTTGTGCGCGGGCGTGCCAGCACGGTCTACCGTGCGTCAAGATGTTTGATGAGTGTTGGATGGATAAATGGTGCGCCTGTTTGAACTCGTCTTCTTAATCAAACGATTGTAGCCGAGAGAGGAAATGGTCTCGGCTGTTAGGTTCACGGCCTGAACTACAAGGCCTTTGAGTGATGGTGTTGGTGGCGGGTTTTGGGCGGTGCTCCGGCGCGCTGCTCAGGGAGCGGCGGTCGTGTGATATATGGGGTGAGTGAACGAACAACAAGGATGGTGCTCCGGCGCCTTGAAAATCAAGGGTCGTATGATATATTGATGAATGGATTTTCCTTACAACCTAACACTACTCCTAGGAAAGCAAGTAAAGATATTGAAAGTGCATTACAGGAAAAAATAAGTTGCTCCGTGGGAGGCTTTGTTTTGGTGTTGAACCCTTTGAATGTAGCTCGAGCCTTGTATTTATAGGGAGAGTCCCTGGAGGAGTAATCGAGGCTGAAAATCGTGGGTTCTGAACTTCTGGCCGTGGAGACGCATTTATGGCCTGGATAGCTGGTAAACCAATATCTCAAGCTGTCAGAATTCCTTGTTAGAATGTCCACGTCTAATCACTCTGATTCGCCTCACCAAATCCTGACTTCAATCACTTCCCACCTTCCCTCATGCATTAAATGCTTCTTCGTGGCCAGTGGGTTTGCTGTATTAAACAGGCACTACTTCATTAAATGAAGCATGGGACCCTGCGATCACGTGGTGATTTGACCTGACTATCCTCGGCCATGACCCTTCTCGGCCTCGGTCTCAGCCTTCAGTCGAGGCCGAGATGTCCGTGCCTTGGCAATTTCCTTTGATTTTCAGAAGGGCGAAGTATCCTGGCGAAACGCTGCGTTTCAGCTTTTACAAACAAGTGCCAAGGCCGAGAAAAAGGGGCCCCTTCGGCCAGCTCACGGCCGTGATTTATTAGGCACAAACAGAAAGGAGTTGACTGGTCAAGACGACTGCCGTTCGGTAGGCCTTCCTATGGAGGAGTTTTTTCAGGTTCCGAGGCCTCCGAAGGTGTCAGTTCAGCGATGAAGTCCGCCACGGCTTGTCCTTTTTCGGCAGGCCTAGGTTTGAACTGTACGTCGAATTCTCCCAACTCGATCGCCCATTTCACCAGCCTACCGGATGTTTCTGGTTTTTGAAAAACCTGCCGAAGGGGTTAGTTGGTTAGAACGATGATGGTGTGGGCCTGGAAGTAAGGCCTCAACCGTCGGGCAGAAACGACCAGGGCCAAAGCCAGCTGTTCGAGTGGGGGGTACCGAGACTCTGCCCCCTGTAGGGCCTTACTCACGTAGAAGATCGGTAGCTCCGCCTTCTTGGGTATTCGTACCAGTACTGAACTGATGGCAGTGTTGGATACCGATAGATATAGGGAGAGAATTTCCCCAGGGAGGGGTTTGGAAAGTAACGGTGCTCTGCCCATATAGTCCTTCAAGTCTTGAAATGCATTATTGCATTCGGCAGTCCACTCTATATGATGTTTGCCCCCTTTCAAGGCTTTGAAGAACGGTGCACACTTGTCTGTGGCTTTGGAGATGAAGCGAGTGAGGGCTGCCACTCGTCCGGTAAGGCTCTGGATGTCCTTCTGTGTCTTCGGCACCTCCATGTCAATTATGGCCTTGATTTTGTCGGGGTTAGCCTCGATGCCCCTCTGGCTGATCATGAAACCGAGGAATCTCCCAGAAGATACGCCGAAGGCGCACTTCGTTGGGTTGAGTCTCATTCGGTAATCCTTCAAGATGCCGAACATGAGCGATAGGTTTTTCAGATGCTCTCCTGCCGTTCGGCTCTTTACTAGCATGTCATCCACGTAGACCTCCATGGTGCTTCCGATCTGCTCGGCGAAGATTCGGTTGACCAGTCTCTGATAGGTTGCCCCCGCATTTTTTAAGCCGAACGGCATGACGTTATAGCAATACAGGCCTTTGTCTGTTATGAACGCCGTGTGTTCGCTGTCGGCAGGGTGCATGAAGATCTGGTTATATCCAGAGTATGCGTCCATGAAGCTGAGCAATTCGTGTCCGGCAGTGGCGTCCACCAGCTGGTCGATGCGTGGCAATGGGAAGCTATCCTTCCGACAGGCCTTATTGAGGTCGGTGTAGTCCTGGCACATTCGCCATCCACCCTTTGCCTTCCGAACCATGACTGAGTTTGCCAGCCATTTCGGGTATATGGCTTCCCGTATGAAGCCGATGGTCATGAGTTTGTCCACTTCGTTCTTCATGGCTTCATACCGTTCGGCATCATAGGATCGGCGCTTTTGCCTGACCGGTTTGAATGCTGGCGAGATGCTCAGCTTGTGGCTGATGATATCAGGGGATATGCCCGACATGTCGTTGTAGGACCAGGCAAAGACCTCCGAATTCTGCCGAAGGAAATGGATGAATTCGGCACGGAGGGTGGCGTTCAGCATGGTACCGATCCTTACACACCGTTTCGGTTGACGCTCGTCCAGCGCCACCGTTTCGAGATCTTCGGCAGGTTGTCCCACCGGAATGGGCGTTCCGGTTCATTGCCGTGAAGGCTTCCTTTTGCTTGTGGGGAACTGCCGATTTTAATGCTGTGGCGTAGCAATTCCGAGCGCTCAACTGATCGCCCCTGATTGCTCCCATGCCGTAGCAGGTTGGGAACTTCATGAGTAGCATGTGGGGGGACAAGTGGGCCTTTATTGCCGTGAGCGCCGTTCGGCCGACAATAACGTTGTACGCCGTAGGACAGTCCACCACAAGGAACTGGTCGTAGACCATGGTCCTTCGTGGGGCTATGCCGAAAGAGATTGGCAGACTGACACTGCCGATTGGCTGGACCAGGTCTCCCGAAAAGCTTAGGAGAGGCGAGAGTTGCCGATTGACCTGGCTGTCATCTATCCCGAGTTCTTTGAATGCGTCGGCGAAGATGACGTTTACCGAACTCCCATTGTCGATTAGGATTCGGCAGACATCGAATTCGGCAATCTCGGCTCGAATGATCATAGGGTCGTTATGTGGGTAGATGATCCCTTCCTCTTCTTCCTCGGAGAAGGTGATGGGTTCCCACCTGACTTTCAGCATCTTTGTGTGGCGGCTACTTTCAATGCCGAGGACTTGGGGGTACTGTGCCGCCCTGAAATGCTGCTTTATCGATCGGTTGGATGCCCCGGCCAGGGTCGGGCCTCCGCTGATCGTGCTGATCATGTTGATCTGCCGGGTGGCGTTCGGCACTGGCGCCTGCTGGGGCCTGGCTATGTATTGATCCAGTTTGCCTTCCCGAATCAACCGCTCGACGATCTTTCGCAGGCTTATGCAGTCCTTAGTATTGTGGCTGTTCTGCTGGTGGTATCGGCAGAATTTCCCTGTATCCCTGCCGTCTTCCCGACTGGGCTTTCGGAATGCTGGCTTCGGGATTATCTCATTTTCGTTCCTCAGCACTGCTTCGTAGGAGGTATTGAGCAAGGTGAACACCTCCGTCCCCTGGTTATGTGCTGGTAGTGGAGCTCGGTAGTTGTCCCTGCCGTACCTGCTCTTGTTTTTCTTGGAATGCCCCTTTTGGGAGCTTCCGGCATCTTTGCGTTTGTGGCTTTCAAGGTACCCAGCAGTTTGCGCAGCTGGCGCGAACGGCGATGCCTGTACCATAGAGGAACGCTGTATGGCTTTCAAGGTACCCTGCCGCTGTATAGGTTCGGCCTTCGAGTTGAAGTATTCAGCTTTGGCGTGGACTGCCGCTTGTTTCATGAGTTCATCGTACGTACGCCAATTGCTGTTGTGTACCAGATACAGAAAGTGTGAGGACCGTAGGCCACTCTTGAAGGCGTCGTAGGCTGCCCTGTCATCGGTATCCGGACATCTCGAGTATTCATGGCTGAATCGTGCGGCATACTCACGCAATGGTTCGTCATCTCTCTGCCGGATGGTATATAGGTCATCGGCAGAGTACAGTCTGTCTGTCTGAATCATGAAGTGGTTCAGGAAGATTTGCTTCAGCTCGTCGAAGGAATCGACCGTCTCCGGTTCCAAACGGTAGAACCAATTCAGAGCCGCTTCTGTGAGTGAGGAAGGGAACAGAAGGCATAGGCCTTCGTCACTTAACCCTCGGCACCCCACTGCCGATTGGAAAGAATGGAGGAGCGTTAGTGGGTCCTCCACCCCTGTGTAAGGGGTTATGCGTCACCCTACTGCCGATTGGAAAGAATGAAGGTGCGTCAGTGGATCCTCCACCCCTGTGTAAGGGGTTATGCGTAGGGGCTGCACGTCCCTATCCTGCCGTGAGTGCCTTATGCGCTCGGTGAAGGGTCCTGGCCGGAGCCTTCCCCAGTCCGGCTCCTGAGAGCGAGTTCGATCGTCCTCCATCTTCTGTACCCTCTGAAGGAGGAGGCGGATGACAGGGTCCCTGTCCGGTATCTCCTCCGCGGTTTGATGCACCGATCGCTGCTGGGACCTGATAAGGTTAACTTCAGAGAATTTCGTCGGCGTTGCCGAACGGTAGGATGATGACCGGTTGGTGGAGGGAGCGTATTCTTGGTCAGACTATGCCGTTGATTCCAGGACTTGTATCCTCCGTATTGGAGACTTCCTTCCCATGTTTCTCAGTCGGGGATCGTCTAGGCGGGCGGT